TTTGCGAGCCTACAAATAATATCCCCGTTGCCGCATTAGCTAGGGAGATTGGCACCTCCCGCAATTGACCATCACAAAACACCTCACGAGAACCATATTCTTCAGGCACATCCTTGGCAATTATTACTTGATTTCCAACTTGTTTATCCATCTTGCAAACTACTCTACCTGGCACCACACCCTAAACGCTACTGCACAACCTGGGGTTGGATCCTTAAGCAAAATCTACCTTTAGTACATCTTCATCAATGTGGGCCACTGCCTTGCAATTACATGCGGAACCTAGCTCGGTAAAACACTCCACCACATTGTGCCGCAAAGGTGCAGTTTTTGTAGCTTGGCCTAACCCAACAACACCCTCCACCAAATTATCCCCACACGAAAGCTGAACATGGTCATTGCCTAAACCAATTTCATCCGTTTCTAGCAATGCATGCAACAAATCCTTACGCCGAATTTCATTCGCCACATAAGATGGGTCAATTAATCCTTCATCCTCCAATAAGTGAGATCGGATTACTTCATCAGACCCAATATCATCACGCCTCCCTCCAACTAACTTATTTGGGCTAGGCACAATGCAAGGCCTAAAGTATGGGTCACTAACATGATGAACCGTATTGACATCCTTATTAGGCCCAAGTTCAACATCAGAAAGGCTGCACTCCTGTTTATTATTATCCCGCAACATGTGGTCAGAATTTGCGTCCAACATATCAGTTACCATATCACCAGAATTCAAATCCATATTCTCCTTTACTAACATGTCATCAAGATTCTCAAAATTACACCCGCGTAATCCGGTTACCTGATTTTCTGGATACTCACCAGCTTGAATCCATTGGTTGCACTTCCCCTATTCCATTTGAAATTCAAAAATACCATTCCTTTCCTGCACATCATGACAAAAAGTATCCCAGTTACTATCCCCTAGTGAAGATTAAGATGAAGAACAATGACTGGAACTCAAAAAATTACTTTGTTTTAAATATATTTTTAATACTTATAAAATATTTGTATTTTGATTTCACTCCCTATAAAGTTTTTTTTCATCCCTCTAAAAAATTGAATTATTTTGTTTTCTTAAAAAATAAATAAATTTTGATTTTGGTCCTTATAAAATATATTTTTCTTTTATTTTTATCTCTATAAAACTTAGTCACTATTTTAGTTCTTAATATTTTATTTTAAAATTGATAAATAATATTTATTTAAAAAATTTATAAATAAAAAAAATTAGATGCACTACAAACAAACATGATATCAAATACGGTTGTGCCTCGTGGGTATCACAAGAAATAATCACTTAATCATATAATAAATAAAAAATAATTAATAAAGATTACAACATACAAAAAGACTAAAAGATGATAATTTTAATTTTAGAAAAATAAAAAAATTACAGAACCAAAATAAAAAATAACTCATTTTATAAAAATTAAAAACTAAGAATTTAATTTTTACAGCTTTTCGTAACACACCTTAAGTTACTTATTGAGACAATTTAGTTTTTTTATTTTATTTATAATTTTAATTTCAATGGCTGGCGTGGCGAGTAAACCTTTTTAAAGTGAAGGTACATAATTTTGTTTTCTGATAAACTAAAATGACGCGTTGTTGTACTTCCACAGCACGTTTCGATAAAAAAACAAAACGAACCGAAGCTATATGCTTTCTATGTCCTTTCTTTTCGCTTTCAAGGAAGGATCAAAGCACCTTCCTTCTATGTCTTTATATAACTTATGTTTCTTTTTAAGTTTATACTACAAGAAGAAACAAAAACTAACACATTTTGTGTATTCATGAACTAACTTCAAAATTAATTTCTTTTTAATTATGAACATTATCGAAATGAGATTTTGTTTCTCTTTACAAATCTGAGAATTATTTACTCAGTCAAACATCTCACATAAAGAAAGAGCCTAAACTCACGAATATGAGAAATTCAAGAGGATTATTCGAGATTTTAATAGAATGTTTTGAAAGCGTCAAATTTTCTTGAATAATATGTCTATAACGCAGAAATAAATATGATAAAATTAATCTTATAATAAAAATAACTGAATTTCAAACTAAAAATGAAATATTCCACTTTAAAGGCTACAAAACTTTTGTTATAACTACGTAGACAGAGTTCGCGATAATTTTTTTTGTACAAAAAGATAAAAAGCAACGTAAAGGATTATAAATTTTTTTGAATTTGAATTATTTTTTATTTGATTTTATTTTTTTAAAATATTTTATTTTGATAACTCAATGTAATTTTTATAAATTTTAAATTCTTAATTTTGATATAACTAAAATTGATTTCTATATATAGTGAGATTTTAATATTAAATTTTATAAAAATAAATATTAGTTAATTTTAAAATATTTAATAATTTTAAAA